ATTATTCTTCATCTAATATGACTGAACCTCTCCTGAGAGGCAGAAGAGGAGGATAAAGAAGGAGGGAATAGAAAACAGAAGAAAGAGGGTGTCTTGGTTGATGAGTTAGACAGGCCAAAACTGCAACGTTAACGAAAGCAAGTCAGAATTATTGGATTATCATCGAGCACACAAAGGAATCACACCTTCTGCAATGGAACAATCCTCCAATCTCTGAGGTTAAGAAATCTTGTTAATGTCACCGCACTTGCCAAAGGGCAGGTCGACCCCCAAGAGCGAAGACCCAAGATGAGGGGCCAAGACTGTAACAGAAAAAACTGAAAAATGATGTCACGGCTGCTGATAGGTCGCCTAATGATGGAGAACGTGCATTGCTGTCCAACATACTAGAGATCAAATCAAGCCTAATGAGCTTTAATTTAATTACCGAGTAGCATGGCAGAGAGCGGAGACAAGGGAAGATGTCTGTCAACATGTCCATTAGAGAAATTAAAAGAAAAGTCATGGTTCAGAAGAAAGACCACTGTGAATTCACCAGCTGGTAGAATTCACTAGATCTTCATCTCCGAGGAAGCAAGACTCCACGATTAATCCGGTTAGAGCTCCATTTCCTCTGTCAAAAACATATTAATAATAACATACTCAGTTATCACCCTTATTATTTCCTTCCTAACGTCAAAACTCATGCGGTCCTTTGTCCGCTTAAAGCTTAATATGTGCATTATTACATATTATTACTCTAATATGTAGCCCTGACCTGTATTATTACTGAGCCTTTTTACCTCATGTGCTTTTTAGCCGTGAATAAAACATCCTATGGATATCCACAGTTCAAGTCTGTTCAGATTTCTTCTATTTGTTTCTTACTGTTTAGCTCTCTTCAGCAATTCTGACACTCGGTGTAACGCTACAAAGACTGAGGAGGCCCAGCCATAGTAACCACGGATTTTTAACCATAAACTGATGCAACTTCCTCTTGTGTCAGTGGGGAAGTGAAACATAACTGGATGACAGACGTTCCTATAAAAACAACTGCGATCAGCAAATGATGCCAAACACTTTGGCAGCTTCTCAATTTGAACAACTGCCTTTACTGCTTCAAAGTTTCAATCAAAACGGCAGGCGTCCAAACATAAACCAGGCCAGTACGGCTCTTGAAAACGCAAATGCACATTCAGCCAATTAAGAAATGAAAGTGAACCTCAAAAGCATTACAAGATCCCAAATTACAAAACTCTGATACTAACTGAGATCTGGCTGGTTCAACTCAATACAAACTAAACCACTTTTCAGTGCACACAAAAGCTCATTTATGTTTTCATTTTTGCAATGCTTCCATCACACTTGCAGAGAACAGGTAAAATATGACATTCTGGGTTGCCTGGTCTGATTAATGTAAACACGGTTCCCAGAATCCTTGTTTTCAGATTTTGTCAATCACGTATGTTGGCGCTATAAAGCAGTTTATTTTAGAATAATGTTTTGAATCATACTCCTCTGTGTGTTTTTAAATTTTCCTTTGTGCTACCAGATGCTACCAGGAGGCCTAAGCTGAAAGTCTGCCAAACATAGGAACAGTAACTAAGGGAGGCGGGACTCTTCAGAATTTTGCAAACCCATTACTGTTCAGATCCCAGGTCTTTCAGCTCTTACAGTGGCTGAACAGCAGAGGTATAAATCTCTGACCTTTCTGAATGATCAAAATATATACTAAATACACAAACTCAACTGGAGAAACGATTTGCACTTAGTGGAATACTGACAATTAAAACAACACAGCAAGCATTTTTGGGGGAATGGAAACTTTAAACTTTGAACAATGCTGTAATAGATCATAATCAACATGAACCTTGTGTTGCAACTGAGCTGCCACCTTCTGATGCACTCCATCTGTACACACTAACGACTCTCGTCGACTGTATGGCTCTTGAGAGCTCGCTGCTACCTATTCTGTTAGGCTTATGACTTGTAATTCTCTTTCCACCCTCTTTCTGTAACACCATGTCCGGGAAAGTGAGTCGGCCGGATGGAAACAATGGCATTCCTGTGCTCCGTGATGCCAGGTGCCGGCGGGAACACGATCTCCTCCATCTGCCATGTGTGTCTGTCCCGGCACACACTCGACCAAACCCAGGGAGCAGTGAGGCAGAGTTGTAGAATGGCACCATTGTTTAACGGTCACTTCGAGTGACACTCACAAAACCACAGACATACTCACTGTACACATGACCTCCCACATACACACTTTCATGCACACATCACACTGTATACTAAGAGTGTAAATATCGGACCTCACGCCAATTCCACTCAGTCAAAGTTCTGTAGGGAAATACTGAATGCAATATTAAATTTTAACACAATTTAATTATTGGTGCAATTCAGAAATATTTTTAAATTATACTGAATATGCAAACATGGCTGTAGAAAATATTTACACAGTAAATATAACACCAATTTTTACACAATACACTAGTGGTGTCAAAGTTAACATGTTAAAAACACATTAACACAATCAATTACTAATTTTTATAGTTTCCTTGATCCTTCAGACCGTCTATATTTCTAGCTTGGCTGCTTGTGCGCTGCATGTTGCTACAGTTAATTGTTCAAAATTAACTTTTAAAGGGCAAGTTTATAATCATTTAAGTTATTTCCACCTACTGCAACATTGTACATCTAATAAGTCTAAAGTCTAAAGTTTCATTTACAAGCACTGCTAATGCTAGCAATATCAGTATTTCAGCAGACTTTACGAGGAATTACATATAAATCTACAAGCAGCAAACTAACAACAACTACAGCAAAATTGAAAAAGCCCCAGTTCCCCTCAAAACAAGACATAATATCATGGTATGCAGGGCTACAATTACACTGGAGCTGAAACACGCAGTCACTATTACTCTCAATAGATGTCGCTGATGAAAACTGGAAACTGCTTTCAGTCTATGGAAACTACACAACTTTATGTTGAGATTCATGTAAACTTGGCGTTCATGTAATAAAGATAATGTTACTGAATTACCAAGAGTAATAAATACATCATGATGAAACTGATTTTGTCCACTCAAATAACAATGACAATATCCAGTGATTTTTCAATGGGAAAGCTCTCCCTAGGGTCAACTTTGAGCAAATGCAATTAAATACAATTAACAACACAAAAAGAACACGATTAATCATGATCAATTATTTTAACAGCCCTGAAATGAGCACAAAAACCAAGGATTTGGGGTTTTTACACTTGAAAATAGAATAAATTTTTGATTTTGGCAAAAAAAAACAGGTACACATCTTATTTAATATTATTACAGAATTGATCATGATCATTTACAGCATTATAAATCAATGGAGCTGAATCTCTTCTGCTTTCACAACTCAGTTACTTAGTGATATGACTATGTACACATTCACATATTGAGCTCACTAGACATACAAACGGGAGCACACACACATGCACATGTACAAACACTGTTAATGTTGAGGATGTACATCTGCTGTGCTGCTGCAAAAACTCCTGCTGAGGGGGGGAAACAGCAGGCAGTGTTTTTATAGCCCCTGTTTTGTGGAATATGATTCACTTCCTTCAGATGCAGCCGGGGCCTGTACTTCAGGGGAGCCAATTCAGTCTAACACTTCAACATTACGTTCCATTCAAACATGGTTATGAAGCACACAGAGTATGCCTGAACTATGTGGTGGATAATCAACGTGCTTTGCTGGAAACAGTTTGAATGGACATCATATCGTGACCCTTCAGAGTTAAAGCTAATTTTCTTCTAACTCCATGCCCCAACTATGACACACCTGGCCAAACAATTACCCCAAAACAACAACCACACGCGCATACATGGCCTGTAAGCTTCCTCCCAAAGTTAACCCTGCACTGCTGGCATAGGGGAGCAAGCCTACCAAAGGATCAGTAGATAAATAATGGATGGTTCTTTTTTCTTCTCTTGTGAGAAAACATGACAGACCCATTCCCTCGGCCTCTCCTGCCCTTACAGCTTTCTATCCTGGCTGGCAGACTCCAGGGGCCAATCAGCCGCCGGCTCCACTCTCTCATCTCCTAATGGGCTTTTGAGTGATTACCGAGACATAAGAGCATCTTCCGACTGTACGATCAATCATCAATCATACCATCGGATCTTCAAAGCTGTCCCATCCACAGAGCTCGAAATGTAATCAAACCCAGAGATGCGGGCATTGCCCACACGGGCTGCAGTGGGAGGCTGTCATACACTGTAAGCCTGACTGACAACTTATTGAACGGTTCAGGCCATGTTTTACATCCTGGCAGGCTTTGGTGTTCAGCGGTGTGGGCCAATGCCTGCTTTCTCCTGTCATGTCATCAGTCGGTATCAAGCTCTTAAGTCTATTAGCAGAGGCACCCTAACAAAGGGAAACTCTTTAAGCAGCATCACACGGCTAATACTGACACCATGAGCAGGCCTATAGAATGTATATTAAATGTAAAAAATAAAATCATATAAGTATATAGAATTTCAAAAATAATAAATACACATAATGAAATGTTTTGTATAAATGCAATATTATAAATGTTGCATTATGTATAAAGTATATACATTTTAAAAAATCAGTTGAGGCCTAATGATAAGTACGATTCAAAATTAAATCCTAACACTGTAACAAGTCAAGAGTACATGCTTTACTGCGAGTAGCTTAAATCACCAAGCAACCAAAATTAAATAATTAATAATCAGTTAATGATGAGAACAGATTCAATAGTAAAAGGACTTCTTAATAATGATTTTTTAATAGGAATAAAGTAAGAATAAATGCTATAAACATAACTGCAAACTAACTAATGTTAAATCTCAGTCCTCCTTTCTTTCTTTTATGCTCAGTAATCAACAGTAGAGTCATAAGTTAGCTGCACATCGCCGAAGTGAATGTAGCTTAGCCTACAGTGCAAGTTCCTGCAAAACCAATGTTCACTTAATAGCCACCCCAATTGAATATAAATCTCGCTTGTCACATACCTTTACTGTGATGCCTTGGAAATGTGAACGTCTTTTCTGGTCAGAAACCTCACGAATGTCGAAAAAGTCGCATTCCGTTTTCTTTCGACCTCCTCCTCCCCCTCTGTGACAAGCTCGACAGCGGTAACGTTACTGCCGAGCAAAAAATGTCTCTTCACTTGGCCAGAAAAAGCCCAGTCTGAGAGCCTTCCGTGAATAACGGATGTTCGAGAGCACCGTTACCCGGTCTGTCGTTATCATTCGTTGTATTCTAGAGAATTGTAAAAGTGTCTCCCCGCAGCCTCCTGATAAGTGTGAGAGGAGGGGGGTTTGGATGCCTGATAGCTAGCCGAGTCCCGGCGAAGAACGAGGGTCTCCCAGCCAGCCTGAGACGGCAGTGGCGGCGATACCTCAAAACAAGCTGCTTGAATTTTCCTCTTGGCGCAGTTTCGGCTTCTGTTTCAGAGAGAAACGGCGGCTTCTCAAATTCAGCGTGCCCGGTCGCTCCAGCTGGCGGTATCTATGAGGTGAACAAGCCGCAGAGTGAGCGCGGATGGTCCGCGTTGCTGGTTCTCGGCTCGGGTTGGAGCGCTGAGTGAGCGCCGCTGCTCGACAGAGGAGGAGCCGGAGGAAACCCGCCCACCTCCTCCCTCAACCCGGAAGAAAACAGTCAGAATGCACAAACAAACCACTTAAATGATAGAAAATAATTATTGTTTACCACTGTTAACATATTTAACCTAACTATTTCCTAATATCCATTTGTGTGGAGGGCATATTTGTCTATCGTGAGCCTCCTAGAAACAAAGGAGACTGTCTTTGATTCCTGCATCCTGATGATTTTTGTAGGAGGTTCGATTCAATTTAATGGACCGATTCCATCGAACTGTCCGTGTCAATGAATCGAACGCCGAATTCAGTCGAAAAACAGCAAAACGCGATTCACATTTATGACCCGATTATCTTCAATAAATTGGTCCAACCGAGTCCGACTTTCTGCATCCCTTTGTAGCCTTTATGCAACCTTATATCCGCTGGAGTCTTGTACTAAATATCGAACAATAATCATTCAAAAATGACCTATATAGCATAACATGCAACACTGTAATGAACTAAGAACATCTTCCGTATTTTGAATCGCTGAATTTGCTTATGTTTTCGCTTTATAAACTGTTTCGTACTGTGTGCATTCCTAGTCTGTCTGTAATGAGTCGAAGTAGCCGAATGTAATTGTACAAGGAAAACATCAAAAGTTATTTGATTTGTGAATCAATGAATCATTGAATTGGAGATTCGACTCGTTGTAACGGCCAGTTAGAAAGAATCAGTTCCATATTAGTCGTCCTCATTGAGTTTCTTATAACTTTTTTTTGGGTTTGATGTTATTCTGCTCAGTTGGTGGCAGTACCTAGACTGCTTTGCTTTTGCTCGCGCAGTTCATGTTCCAGCTTTAGAATATTTTTTTTTTCTTTTTTGGGCCAAAAGAATAAAAAAAAAGCATGCACTCTTGCATGATAGTAATAATTCCAGTTCTGTGTGGAACTCATGCTTGAAAGCTTTTTGTACTTTATAATTTTCTACTCCTACTTAAGTTTTTGTTCTATTTATTTCCATCCTATTTCTATTTTTCCTGTTTGTTTGTTTGTTTATTTGTTTGCTTGTTTGTTTTTAGCAATACACTCCTTTTAACTGAAATACACAATGAAATTTAAAAAATGAAATAAACATTGTTTTTTTATTTTAGTGTGGTTTTAGGATACTCTGCTCAAATGTTATTGTTGTCAAGTGATCAAAGAAACAGCCTGAATCTTATAAAATAAAAAATAGAAGCAGTCTAATGCACTTCCTGACCACAAAGGTTGTTTTCCTCTAAGGATCAAATCACTCATAGCTGGAAAGCTTTAAGCAGCAGACTGTGACAACAACAAAAAAAAAGAGATGTTTGAAAAGTTTGAAAACTAAAGAACTTCCTCTCACTTAAGCTGAAACAGTAATAGCAGAAAAAAGTAATAGCAAAGCCATTACTGTCTGTTCTCATTTATCAGTATCAGAATTGGTTTTATTGGCTAGGATATCAGTTACAAGGATATTTTATTGGACAGAAGCATATATTAAGATGGACATAGTAACAGATCAAATAAATGAAGTCAGATAGCAGAATATAACATCAAGATTGCCACAGACAGAAGCTATAATTCATTAGCATTGGTAAATTGATGATAAGGCAGAAAAAATTCATCTAATCAGAGTTGAGATTCATTAAGGAAGCAGCCTAGTTAGTCATTAAGCCAAATTGCTTGCTTCTAAGCTAAGCTATAAAATCTATATAATATATAAGTCTTTTGGGAGCTGTGCATGAAGCAGCTAAAAGCCAATCAGGAGTGTCAGTACCCTCTCCGACTAGACTTGGTTTCACTGTTTTATACATCAGCCATGAATTTCGCAAAAAAGTGGGACATCCTGTAGCATCTGCTATTGAAGTGAAAACTGCTTGCATGGCTATAGCCTAATTTACAAATTCATTCACAGCGTTTATCTGATTGCTGTTTGTGTTTTGTTGATTATACATTATTATGCTTTCATCAAACTTGATTAATAAGTCTCATTTTCATCCTGCACCACTGTAATGATGTTAGCTGCATGTGTCGGCACCCCATTGTGTGACATGTGAGATTATGATTAGTTCATTTAGGCAAACATACAGACATACTGTGTTAAACTCAGAGACCACCCTTCATCTATTTAATTTCCAGTCAAAACTCATTTTTCAGCATCAGGAAAAAAGCAGAAAACATACATTTAACAGAGAGGCCTCAACAAGTAAATGTAATACCAAATGTTTCAGTGCTTAGCGTGTCCGGTCTTTAGCTTTATTACAGTATCCATTCTTTTCAAGAGACAGTTTTTCAAAGAAATCTGCAGGGATATTTTTCCACACTTCCAAAGTTCAGTCTTAGAAGTTTTTCTGCTTCTCATGATCCAAGCAATCTTAAACATATTCAGTGATGTCAAGGTCTGGACTCTGAGGTGGTAAGTCTGTTGTTCTGAGACCACCCACGGCTTCTTTGTTTGATTTGCAAATTATCTTCTTTTTCATTTATTTTTTTTTTATTTCCTTTTCTCAGTAACAACTTCATTACAGCTACACACACTTTCAGACTCATAGTGTTGAATTGTCTTCTCACAGTGTAAGTTTTGGAAACTCCTGTGTTTTTTCACTTATTTTCCTTTGACTTTTGCCTTCCTTATGCAAGTGGACTATCTATCTATCTATTATATATATTGAACATCCTCAGAAATACCCCCTGAAAAACGATTAATAGCCATTTTGAGTGGAAATGTAATAAATGAGTGGTGGTCTCTGACAGGGCTGTAATTCATATTAATTCTGTTTTATTTGTATAATGCTTTCATAGTGCTGGTCCCAAAGCAGCTTTCCAGAAAAAGGGGTCCAAACACTGAAAGTCTCAAAAGGAGAGCCCATCTTCCTCTAGGCCGCATCTGATAATACAGTTAAGCTAAAACTATTGTCAGTCCAGCTGATCAATGTCCATCTCACTGAGTCGATGCAGCACATCTCTGGCAACCTTTGCCCCAAAAGTCAGTTGTGGAGGTTTGAAAGGATGTTCTCTAGAAGAAATAAATCTCTACAGCCTTATTCTGTTTTCCTACATATTAAGATATATAATAAGGAACATATTCATCACACTTCTTTATTATTATTTTTTATGTTTTAGCTGTTCTGAATATCGAGCTTGGGATAACAGAAGAACGATTCTGGCTTTCGAGCAATATTAGCACAATTATTTATATTTCCACCTTCATAAACAGTGCAAATCAATACTAATACAGTGATTTTCAGCATGCATGCATTGTAATATACACTGGTGGTCAGAAAGTTTGAAGTGTTTGAAGCGCTCAGTCCCTTTTGTTTACTTAAAAAAGAAAAACAACAAAAATATATACCCATTGAGAACTACTAGGACTGTTTTGGAAAATGTGTAAAAAAGAAAAAATTACTAGTTTTCTTTGGGTCCTACTTTGCCTTAGAGTGCCCTGCATGTTTCTCTCCACCATTTTATTTTTAAAAAGGCATTTTAGGCTAAAACCTCATTACAATACTATTGTAAAACAACCTCTCTCTGGAATGAAGCATTTCACATCTAACCACTCTGAATAACTTTTTTACACTTTAACAATTCCTATGCAGACAATGTGGAAAATCAGTGGAATTCTCCTTTAAGGCTGCACACTTAAAAAAATGGTTCTTTAGAGGTTCTTTAGTAAAGAAAACTATGGTTTTATAGAGAACCATGAGCACTCAAAGAACCTTTGCATGATTAAAGGGTTCTTTGAATCGTGAGAGTGTTCTTCAGATTAACGGAGAATGTGTTTTATAAGGTTCTAAATAGAACATTTTTTGAAAAGGGTTCTATATGGCACCAAAAAAGGTTCTTCTATTGTTACAGGCTTGACATTGTAACAATAGAAGAATGCTGTTTCATCTCATATATATTTCCAAGTGAATTAGGAAGCCATGACTGACCGTTTAAGTGTTCTTAATCACTCAGGTGACCTTAAAAACATAAAACATGAGCGGGAATATACTTCAGTTATACTTATACTTAAAATTTCTAGGGGTGCATATAATTGTGGCACACATAGATTTCATACATACATACATACATACATCATCTAAACTGCTTATCCTTCTGGGTCACGGTGGGGTGCTGGAGCCTATCCCAGCTGTCATTGGGCAGAAGGCAGGATACACCCTGGACAGGTCGCCAGTCCATCGCAGGGCAGACATACACAGTCACACACACACTCACACCTAGGGGCAATTCAGCATGTCCAATCAGCCTGACTGCATGTTTTTGGACTGTGGGAGGAAACCGGAGTACCCGGAAGAAACCCACGCAGACACGGGGAGAACAGGCAAACTCCACACAGAAATGACCCTAGTCGCCCGGCCGGGAATCGAACCCAGGCCATTCTTGCTGTGAGGTGACAGCGCTACCCACTGTGCCACCGTGCCGCCACACATAGATTTCAGAAAATATTTATTTCACAACATGATTATACCAAACAAATATTTGCTAATATTTTGAATGAAACATCAAAAAGATAAGCAAGTAGGAATATTTTTAAAGCTCATGATTGACAGGGGTGTCAATATTTGTGGAGGGCACTGCATAAGCAAAAACACAAAATATGTTAGATACATTGGCTAAATTTAAAGAGGAGCTTCAGAAGTTTCTGTATAAATCATTTGTTGAGATGTAAACCTTCACAGTGGTTTGATTCAAACTGGTTCATTGTAGAGACATTTGCTCAGATTTTCTTTACAGTAGTGGTGATAGGAACCAGGGATCCTGGCACCTACACCATTTTATTTGGCATCCACAATGACCAGTAAACCTGCATGTGTCTTCTGAGATTTTATATGTAATGTTGATACTGGTAAATTAATTGTAAATCAAAAGAAAAGTAAAAAAAAATGCCCTGCATTTATCTCTCCACTCTGAATTTATTTTAAGATTATGTTAAAAACCTTCTCAAATTCTCAAAACCTGATCTCAAAAGTGTCACAAAACAGTGTACGTTCATACA